CAAGTGAGGTACAGTGGCCAATTTAATGAACAAAGAGCTAAATTCAGAAATCTTTGGTAGTGAGAAATGCTTGAAATGAGTATTCCCAAGAGAACCACCTACGTCTAAGACTGCAGAGAAGGCGGTAGTTGGTTCTTTTTAAACTGAGACACTAATTTCTAATCTCCTCAACTTTTGCTCAAGACCAAAGTTTGCTGCTCAGTCGACCTTCCTACCATTTGGAGAAGAGAGGAAATACAAAGATAGCATGGCTTGAAATTCCTTCGGATTCATTCAGGCAGGTTCTGATTAGAGGTCTGCAATTTTAGACTCTAAGGTTTTAATAATACATTAAATTGAAGAGTTGTACTAATTAAAGATCTCATTTTCAAGGCTTTTGCCTGTTATCCTTTTTCTTGAGTCTTGTATGCGCATATTTTGAAGTGCTGACCAGTTTTTTTTCATGTGCTGTGGAAGATGAAGGACCCTGAAGTAGTCAAACGAGGAAAGAGGGGTCAGATGTGGTGTTGCACAAGAGTCTTTGCTATTATGTCCTAGCAGATGCAGTCTGCTCGGCAAATTGCCAGATTGAACTCCTGGACCTAATACCTGAAGAGGTTCTATGGTTTGTAATGTTTGAAAGGACTTTCCTGACGTATAGTCTCCAATAAGCTTGTCTAGTAATGGGCATTTATACACATACACTTGTCTGCTCTGGCATGACACGAGTTGATGTATGCATTGCAGCGTTGGGTGCATTTGTACAAATGGCAAAATGCACATCAGAGCTCAGAAAATGGCAGTGCAAAATGCATCAAAGCTGTTTTTGTTCAAAAGTGCACTGCTGCCATTTTCACAGGGCTAACATGCATTTTGCTGTTTATACAAATGCATGCACTGTAACACCAAGCGCTTTTAAACGTGCCCAGCGCTGTAGCACAGCCATGTATACAAATGCCCCAGGTACTTTCATCGCCTACACTGCCACTTTTGAACCTTGGATCTGACAGGTTTGTAGTAGCCTTGCTGCCAATGAATCATAGGGGAAGAAATTTCAAGGGTCATTAAGTCCAGGAGTCAACAACCTACAAGCCTACAGACTGGTTCCGGTCTGTGGCAAGATTCAATCCTATGGTTTGCAGCATTTACTGTTGAGAATTGGCAATTAGCAGCGTGCAGCAGTGGGGTGGAGGGGAGGAAAATAGGGGTGATGACCTGCTATAGGACCAAGCTGCTGTAACTTGGTTAATCACTTGGATAAAAAGCTTTTGGATCCCTGATCTAGTCCATTACCATGTGCAAATTTTAATTTTATTTGTGAGTGGTGATGCACTTAAATCCTCAAATACAGCTAATTTACCTTGGCCGCAAGTAGATTCCCTGACTTAAATACTTTTGTTTCAGTTGCAGCCAGTTGTTTGTTTGTTTGTTTGTTTTTTAAATCTGTGTGGAATCTCCAGCGCTAAGCAGATGAATGCTGAAGGTATCCTCCAGTATAGTGTCACATGCTTTTTCTGTTCATTGTGCCTTAAAGAATCCTTATGTCGTTTTATAGGCCAGGAATGAAAGTTGGCCATCTGTACTAAACAGTTAGTTATTTTAAATTTCCTTTTTCAAGGTGCAGGCAGGCAAGGTTCTTTGCGTAGGCGTGGTATCTTTTATTAGATCAACTGAGTAGCTGGGAATAAGTTCTTTGGAAGCTTTCGGGTGCAATCGCCCTTCTTCAGGCATGGGGAGTCTCTGCTGTTCTGAGACTCCAAGGAATGAAAGAAGCTAAAGTGTGACAAGATGTCACTGAGAATGTACATGGGTGGAAGTTAAAAAAACAAAAGGTAGAGCAGGAAAAGGGGTTGGGGAAAATTGGAGGGGGAGAGCCAAAGGTGAGTAAGGGAGACTCTACAATAGTAGATTTTCAAGGTATAAAAGAGGCTGTCTGTGAAAAAGTAAATAGTTGGAAGTTAGGAAAACAAAAGTTAGAAAAGGAGGGGAAGGAGAAGGGAGGAAAAGAGAAGTATAAGAGGTCAGGTCTGGCAGGTACCTGGTGAATCAGATGTCAGGCAGGTTGTAATGAAATACTGTAGTAACTCTTCTTAGCAGGTAACTTACTATTGGCTTTTTAAATCGTAAATAAATAATTCAAGCTGTTAGTATGAAACTGCAAATAAGAAGGAGGCTGCACTACAATCAAACTATTGATTCTGGCCTTTACATATGTTCATTGTAGAGGCTAATATGTCAAATTGACTCCATACTATGACACTTTAACACATCATGAAAATAATTAACTGAAATGTAGCCAGGTTTTTAAAAAGCAATTTCCCTTGGCTCCAAATATTTCATAATCTTATGGCTTGGCAAATTGTATGCTGGAGTTTCTCACTTGGTTGAACATGAGCGTCTTTTGGTAACTTTAATTTATAAACAGTTTTTAAATTAATCCTTTAATATTGATTTTTAAAATCTTAAGCAAGAAAATTCAAATTATAGGGCTGATCTCCAGACTGAAAGTTGCAGCAGCAAGATCGAATAGCACAGTGTCTTTCCCACGAAGTTTCCAAACTTGTTTTTGTTTGGCTTTAGGGCAGTGTCTTAGTCTTTTTAGATATGAGGTACCCCTCCATAACTTTTCTGAATTTAGCAATGCCTCGTTTTTCCAGTCTTAAAACAAACAAACAAAAAAAACCAACTGGAAAAAGTACATGAACAACTAATATAATGACTGAGAGACACTTGCATGTACCACCTCCTTCAGCTTTTTATTTCCTGCATCCATTTGGATTGGAAGTGAATATTTATACTCCCGTGAGATACCACCTGCATAGGAGCCTAGTTGCTTTGAGCTGGCCTCTTCATCTGTGATGCACAAGATTTAGCTTCTAAAAGCAGCTCATAGAAGTCCTTGTGTGAGAGCTGAGATATGGGAAGTGATGGTTGCCTTCAAGCAGTCATGTTCATGGACCCTTACAGAGAGAAGAGCTTTTCCTTCTGTCTCAGCCTTGTGGACTGATGTAAAAGTATAGGTTGTTTGTACCAAAGAAATTTTCTGGTACAGTTCTGATGGGAAGTAATTCTTGTCATTTAAGGGAACCAGATATGAGCAAAACACTGGCACTGAGGCGGAAGTGCCATCTTTCTGCATATGCTGATCTATTCCAGTAGACTGCTTGGTACTTGTTGCTTCCAAGTAGTCAATAGGGAGTTAAGTTCTGAGCACTTTCCACTTTGTCCTGTATTAGGGAACCCTAGAAGCTATTCTTAGAAACAGTTCCTAGCTAAGAGGTGTCGGACGTCTTGCCATAAAGACTTTTTGGGTTTAGGAGTTTTTGATATTGTCAAAAGATTCTTGTATGTTACTTATCTAAGACTTTTTGAAGGAACTTGTGTCCCTGATAGGGATGTAAATATTGTTTAAAAAAAAAAAATTATCCATTTAACCTTCTCTAATTGCATCAGTTAAATGGTTAATCAATAGAGCATGCTTAGTTTAGTGATCTCTGCCAGGAATCGCCCAAGTTCTTTGTCTTCTGTTTGCAGGCTCCTCTTGCACCAGCAAGAAGCAAGCTCCAATGGCTAGGAGCCCCCTCAGCTGAGAGTTTCCCAGTTATGAGGGCATTTCATGCAGCCCCACAGCTGGGAGATGCAGCTGCTGCCATCTCCCGGCCATGGAACCCCTTTGTAGCTGGGAGATGGCACCATCTACAGTCTTTCAGCCCCGGAAGTGTGGTGGGTCCCCAGGGCTGAGAGAGAACAGGTACTGTGGGACACTAGTTACTGCTGTCAGGACCCTGTGTCTGCAACTGCAGATCACTGGGTCACCAGCACCTTGGAGCATTGCTGAGACCCAGAATCTGTTGCTGCTGGGTCTGAGTCCCCTCAGCTACAGGACTCCCAGCCCCAGGTGGGCATGGTTCTACCCTGAGCTGACCAGGCTCCCAGCCAGACAGGGCTCCCAGCTGCAGCAGAGATCTTGCTACACTTGCAAATTAAAGATGAAAAGCAACCACTATCAAGTTAGTGCACATTTTCAGGGTCTAACTTTATAGTTGGTTGGACCTTTTTATGGCATGATAGCTACTTTCCATGTGTCGCTGGTCTCTGTTAATTGCTCAACTAACCATTAAATTGCACAATACCTGTAACACGTACAGGGAGCCTCTGTTGCCTTATTATGTTGACTTATTTTTAAGCTAGTGTTCTTTCTTTCTGGTTGAGTAAGGTAAATTATCGTTACCAAAGCTAGTAAAGGCACTGGAGTAGCTTACCTGAAAATTTTAACTGTAAGGAATGTTATTCTCGCATCTCTAATGCAAAGGCCTTTTTACCTTCTTGCATTTGTGTATGGAGAAGCACCAGAAGGAGTGACACTTTCCTTAAATGATATTTTAGTGTCACTTTTTTCAGGTCAAAGAAACTTTCTCCTCATGACCTTTTTTTGGTTTGAACTGGGTATGTTCTAAATTAGGGCTGTGCAACTAGTGACATGTTAGTCACATGCAGCCTGTTAAGGGTTAATGTGGTCCCAGGCTCTCACCTGTCACTCTTCTCATTGCTCTATCTGCATCAGCAGCTGGAGTCTCCAGCTTCTGCTTCTTGCTTTTGCCAGGGATGGGACTGTGTGGAAAGTTAAGGGTAAGTTCAGCTGCACCCAGGGGCATCCAAGTCATGTGCTGAGGAGGAGGGGGTTTTATGCCCCTGCATAATGTAGCAGTGGAGGGGATACCCACACAGGTTGTGCTGCAGTAATTTTGGGGAGCATTTTTGCAAAATGCCTGATATAGCCTCCATGACTTAAAAGTTGGACAGTTCTGTTCTAGATGGCACACATCACACTTAAAAGAGTCCTAGAAACGTTTTTCTACTTTCTTCATCCCCAAAAAGCTTGTTCTATCTCATGTAACAGTTTTTCTGTAGAACTGTTATAATGGTTCGTGAAACTAGATGAAACGTTTCTTAATTTGAATTTGTGCAATTCAGTATTATGTACAATTTAATTTCTCACTGTCAAATGTATTTACATTTAGGTTCAGACAAAGAAGGAAGAACCTTTGCCACCAGCACTTAGCCAAACCATTCCATCGTTTTATTTTCCTCGGGGACTTCCAAAAGAAAAAGTGAATATAGATGCTGTAATTACTAAAATAGAGAGGACTTTCTCGCAGTTTCCAAATGAGAGAGCAACTTTAGAAGACATGGGCAAAGTTGCAAAGGTGAGGATTTACTGTGTGTCTGTATTTTGTATGGTGACTATAGAAAGGATACATATATTTTAAGTTTTCTTATGTTAACTGTTCTGTGATCTTAATAAAATTGAAATAAGGCTATGCCAATAAAATACATTCATATAGATCTGTTTCATAGCCTATTGAAGGCAGTGGGTGTCTTCATCTTCAATTAACTTTGTGGGTGGGGCTCAACCAAATCAGCATTGTAGAAAACTAAAACTGAAAAAATGAGCTATAAAGCTTAGTTCTTGAGCTTCCAAAGTCTGCATTGACCGGTTCCATACAGTACCATAAATATCAGAAGAATATCATTACATCTCAATACCTAGTTTTGTCTCATGCCTTGATAGTGTCAGTTGTGGTACTACTAAAAATATTTTTTAAGCAAGCTATTGCTTAAATTGTTTAGCTAGGTTATACAGTGTAGATTTAAAACTTTAATGCACTGTATGGATGTGCCACAATAAAAAGTTACTTTTTGTTAAAGCACAAAGTCATTTTTCCAACTATATTAGATGAGGAAAGTCAGAATTGGATTTATTAAGCACTGAAATCCATAATTCCCTTCTCTTTGCAATAAAGTATAGAATTTACTGAAGGACTATAGCACACACAACTTCTCCAGAGTACCAAAATACAGATATTTTAAGTCTGAGAAATAACTTTTGCCTTCTGTATAATATTAATGGCAAACTCATTTCATTTTTTTCTTAATTTTTTATTATAAATGGCAAATGTGTCAAAGGAGTTCATTCAGTATACAATTTAATGATCAAGGAATAAGACTAGAACAAACCTGCAGACTATAATTGCTTTACAATTAATATTCAGTATATGAAAATATACTGTTTCACTGGAGAAGAAAAATTTCTCAAAAGTATAAAAGATTATAGGGGAGGAGAAGTTTGTCAGCTTCTTTCCTTTTGCCATGAAAACCTACCTGGCTACACGGTATGTTAACGAGCAGTGGCCAGATCCAATAAAGGACTTCGTCTTTTAGGTGCCTGGCCCCTAAACTGGTATCTAGTACCCTGTGTGTGTAACTTTCCACATGCATAGTATGTGGAGTTTGTGCTTCTCTGAGGAGTCTGCCAAAAAGCCTGATCAAGGTACTCTACAGCAAGCCAACAGGAAGCACTGGACACATCTGTGTCCAAAATCCTACAGAGTAAAAGCGCACTTGTTCAGGGGAAACCATTTCTACCCCCTCAACACCTAGCCCCTGATATTCCCTTTTGTGGGGGTAAGCATCTATGTCCACATCCACAGCAAAACAGGGTTTTCTGTCATCCTGTAAATATGGCTCTTGGAAGTAATGGGTAGTCCATAAATGTGGGAACCAAGTGGTTTGTCCATTTGCCCAGGAAACGGGAGAGCTATGTTCAATGCCCTTCTCAGTCAATTTTCTACCTCCCATGAGAAGACCCAGACTATTAGATTACAGAGGAGGTACAACCACTCCTCTACCTCTTGCTGCAGATACAGTTAACTTGTGTGGAAAGGATTATAATGTGGAGCTAGGAAATCAGAGCCTGACTCTGCAGCTTACCCGGGAAGAGGAAGCAAGTCTTGATTCCGGCATAAAACTATTAAGGCTAGAGTTGGTTTAGATGTGTACAAAAGCAGAGTTTTTTTTGTTTGTTTTTTTTTAGATGCCCTGGGTACTGAAGTAAAGCCAGGAAGGCACTGAATAAGTTCAAGCATCCAGCCTTAAATAGCTGCTAAGCAGGGGGTTTGGAGTTGCAGCTTTGAACTTGGGCACACAGGATGCCTATACATGTGCAGTGAGGCTGCTCTGTCGCCCTGTAATTATAATTAATTGAGTCTGCTGGAGCACAGTAAACCAACAGACTCTAGCATCATGTGGATCAGCATCCTCATGCTGAAAAATGGTGGCGGGGGTGCTTTAACAAAAGCTCAAACAAGCTTCAGTAAAGCAGGAAGGCGCTGAATGAACTTTTAGTTAAAGTGCCTCCACTGCCATTTTTCAGCACGAGGGGCACTAATGCACAGGATGCTCTGAGCGCTTTAATCCGAGCGGCTCTTGAAACCGCTCTAATTAAAGAGCCCGCACCTGGAGCACGTGTATAAATGCCCACAGATTTTACCCGAGGCCTTTTTTAGATCTGTCCCTAACAGTATTGTTCCAATTGAAGTTTACCGTACTAGATAAAGCTGGGCAATAAACGTAATCTTCCAGAAAAAGTGGATCGACACAGGCTGAACCCTGTCACTCTGTATGTAGTAGAGAGCTGCAGGTAGATCCTGTTCCACCTATTGGGCATCTAAGTTTAGGTGATTTAGGTGCTGAAGCATGGTTCTGTTCCATCCTGTTTAAGGCTCTGACAATTCATTAATACATGTACTGTTGTAACAGTCATTTAACCCTTAAGACTGAGTCACAAAAACAGTATGGAGGAAAAGGACCCTTCTGTATTTCCATTATTTTTTTTTTTATATAACCCACACCTTTTTCCCAAAACCAGATGGGGGAAAACTAAGGTGTGCATTATATATGAGGGTTCCAAAAACTTGGCAGGCAAGAGAAGGGGTGGCAGCATTAATTACTGTGCTTCCAGGAGTCCTAGCAATTAACCCTGCCTCTTCTCGCTCCCACACCCTCTGTTGCTGAATCTCTGGAACCATAGGGAGGCCTCTTCCCTAACCACTTGCTTAATTGGGCTGGCATGTGAGATTGGCCCAGGGCCAGACCTAGCATACTGGCTCTGGAGTCCTACGCTGAGTTGGACCCAGCATGTTGGGTCCAGGACTATGCACTAGCTCCAGGGAAATGTACTGGGTCGCACACAATTCTGGAGCAAGCAGTGGCACAGCTGGGTCAGAATTGGTCGTGTGGTTCTGGCCCCAGTGCTGGTATGGCTGGGATAGCCTGCCATGTACAGCATCGAGGCCAGTGCGTAGACCCCAGCCCTAGCTCACAGCCCTCAAACCCCACAGGGCCCCAGCACACAGCCCTTCAGCCCCTGGAGATCCCAAACCTTAGTTACCTACCCATACTGTAAAGCAAGAGCTCTTTTCCTTCTTGGGCTTTCTGAAAATGTGAATGTCATCATATCTGGGGGAAAGGGGCAGTGTTTAAATGAGATAAAATATGGTAATAGCTTTTCAGGGTCTCAAGTAGGATAGAGTAGAATCTAACTGGGGCATCTAAGCCCACTTACATGCCCAATAAGTAGATTAGAATCTGGCCCCTGCTGTCCCAGGATATTGACATAGTGCTAGATGTAAGAAAGCAGGAGTTAAGCATCTAAATACCTTAAGTGCCTTAACTCTCATAATGTCAGTGGAAGTTCAGGCACAGACCTTTGGATCTGGCAGTTAGCCATATGCTAGCAGTATGTTATTCATAATCCTTTTTTTAATGAGGGAGTAACCCTCAGATAAGTAGTCATTTAACTGACTTGCTGTATTGTCTTGTGCTTTATTTTCAGGCATGTGAATGCCCATTTTACTGGAAAGGTCCCTTGTTTTATTGTGCTGGAGGTGAACGCACAGGACATGTGTCGGTTCATAAATTTGTTGCGATGTGGCGAAAGTAAGTAGGTTGCTTTTTCAGAGATGCTATATTTCTTAAATTTAACTGATGACATTTTAAGCTCTGAGATCCAGGCTAGAGAAGGGGTGGGAGGAGAGAACTTTTTCCATAAATTCTGTCTGCTTCAACTGAGAATGGAAAAGGCTAGCCAAATACAGGACAGAGTGGAGGAGGGTTGGTAGAATATCTAAGGTGCTCCAACTGTCAGAGCAGCCTTGGGACTGACTTGACAATCATTGAGAGTAAATTTTTAACAAGTTCTACATGAACAGTGAATAAAATCTTGGTATTCACTGTGGTAGACAGTGCAGTGTAGTAAGTGACAAGTTCCTAATGTTCGAAGTGTAAGTCTTGAGGGGGGGAGTGGTGAAATGTGGATCAAAGTTGCAAACACAAGTCAACAGTTTTGGCAGGACGCTTCTTTCTAGTCTCTCCTCCAGACACCAAAGAAAGAGCTGTGGTCTTCATTTTAAAACTTATGCCCTCATGTTTACTCCTCTGCTCAAATTGAGTACAATGTTGATTTTATGTTAACACTTGCACTGTTTACTATGAGAGATAGAAAATAGGACTGACTAGTGCAATACCTAGAAATGTGAAAACACTGAAAGGTAGAGCAAACTTTCTAAAACTCTGCCTTCACATTGTTGTGGTAATAGATTTGTAGAGTGATCACATTTATAAGAATATTGAATTAAAATTTTCAGTTTACAGCCGCTCTGCATAATTTAAATCTTCATGTCCACCTTTGTTGGTGAACAGGTATAAATTTTTATTTTCACATTTCAGAATACTACAGACATGTCATGATGATGCTTCAAAATTTGTTCATCTTCTAATGAACCCTGGATGCAACTACTTGGTGCAAGAAGACTTCATTCCATTTTTACAAGTAAATTGCAACTAAAATTAATCATGACCCTCCTCCCTACCCTTTTGAAGTTACTTTATGCATGCTCTTTACTAAAACTTACTGGCAACTGTTTAGTGTGGCACACTGGTATTTAGGTGATTTAGAGATTTTAGTTTGTTACAGTTTACTTTTACAGACAAATACTTACCACATTTTATCTAGGAAGGAAATTAAGAGCTGTATATCCTACTGTAGATGTTTGACACAGACCAGCAGATGGACCAGAATTTAATTAAGATTAAGAATGAGAGTTCAGGTGATGTAGTCATGTTAAGGATGTTCTTTTGAGATTGTGAACAGCAAAAGAGAAGCGCCAGTTGAATATTTTGAACTATTACGAATCTTAAAATTGTGCTGCTGAATGAATAACCTGGCTTATTGAAGCAGTTACCCATAGCAGATTACATGAGAAACCTTCTAGCTTTTCAGCAGTATTGTATACATCTTGTAGCCTACGCTAGGAGAATAACCTGTTGCTGATGACATCAACAGCAACATATGATGTGCACATTTATTTCCCATGTGTTTGACATCCTCTGCCTGTTTAAAAATTAGAGAATTTTATGCTAAATGGCTTCGGGAAAAAATGAGCAGAGGTAGTTAGCAGTCTACCCTACATTCTACTTGAAGAAAAATGCCACTGTGGGATCATTGCCCAAGGCATTCTAAAATTGAAGTTTTATTCCACAACGTAGCTTTGCCAAGCAATGAAATTTGGGGTGATTTCCATCAAGATGTTGGATGCAATATTCTGCATTAACAATTCTGTACCAATTGATCAAATGAGTATAAATGGACACTTCATTTTCTCATCATTATAGGATGTGGTGAATAGTCATCCTGGCCTATCATTTTTAAAAGAAGCATCTGAATTTCATTCTCGGTACATTACTACAGTAAGTGTTTAATGACATTTTTTATCATTAATGTTAAGTTAGTTCATTTGTAAAATTGACCATCTCTTTAGTGAAAAAGATGTTTTAGGGAGATCTAGGCTCAAATAATATCTTAAAATCTGCTGGGGAAAGCTGATGGAATTTTCACAGCTTTAATTTAACTTTTGTCCTCTGACTGAGATTCTAAACTGCAAACTTTTGTTGAATTCATATCACTAGTCTATGGACCAAAGAACAAATACAGCTGTCCATATGTCTTCTGGTTTTCAGTGAGCTAAACATCTAACTATTACACGTTTCTAAAGAGGTCCTGCTCTAATTTGACTTAAAAATAATATGTAATTAGTAGGGCTGTCAAACTATTAAAAATGTAATCGTGATTAAAAAAAATTAGTCACAATTTTAATTGCACAGCTAAAAACTCAAAATTTATGCAAGTGTGCAGGTATTTTGTATGGTAGTGGAGGAGGGGGAACTTACAAGGGTGTCGGGGGAGGTTTGGAGCCCAGAGAGGGGGATTCCTTGCAGGGTGTCTGGAGCCTGGAGAGGGGGGGACCCCCATACTCCCTGGCAGGCTGCCCTATCTGAGCAGGGTCTTCGCGGAGCTGCCCCAGGCCCAGGACAACTCGTTCCTCCTCCCCCCCCCCCCCCCCCCCCCCGC